CTAGGGTGGGCTATGAGTTCCCAAATTTACGGTATAGGCCGCAAGGCTATGCATCGTTATTACCATAATCATCTTTCTATGACCCATTGAGCTGCATTATAGTAAATTCCTTTGTTCACCTCGTAATTTCTAGTACTACTACTCCTCTTCTTAGCGGAGCGAAGCGAATCATGTTGTACATATTTCTCACTACTGTTTCCCCTCTTGTGCCTGTTCAGATCCCTATTGTCGACTCTTCGTATCGGATGGGGATCAATTCGGGTGGGGCTTGGGATGGGTTTTGGCTCACAGATGTATGCCCTCTGTCGGCGGGGTATATCCTATAACGATCAGCGTCATCATACATCAGCTGCAACCTGATCGTCATCTTGAGGAGTCGATTCCTTGTGCGATACGATAATTCAACGGTTGTTGTGGTAGTAATATAAACTGAATTATTTGAGCTCCACCTGTCCATTTCCTATTCGTTCCTACGTATCATTGACTCGCAGTAGTGAGTGTCGTTTCCTCAGACGTAAAGGGTGTTGTGTATTCGGAGGATATCTTATGGAGTTTAGTAGCCCTATGGATGTCGGAGGTACCAAGAGAGCATCGGAGGTCTTTGCTGCAGAGAAGGGCTCGTGACATGGAGGATCCCTATGCACCTAGGTAGAGTATCCCTTAGTCGAAGATAGGAAACGGCTCCCTTAGTCCACCATCATCACCCTTTAGCAGGATACCCACCGATGAGTTAATACTAATGATAGCAGCCCAGATGTCTGTGAGTCTGCCTTACCTTCTCCCTCACACTCACCGAGCCTGTTCAGGGTTTCGTTTTAGTACCCGAAGCATCATCCTCCCATTCAAGGCTCCTGCTTATGCCCAATATGGACCTCCAGGTGACCCTCATCACCACCATTTAGTCGATGGCATTTTAAGTGTTCTCTGTCAGCATATGGCAGATGCCGTGACGAGGTTCAACATGAGCGAGTTCTGTTGGTCTCTGTGTTTTCACCCGACCTTCCTATCACGACTTTTCTACGAGGTAATATCTTGAGGTTGACCTTGAAAGATACGAATGAGGTCGTTTGTGATACCATCAGGGATTCCTCCCGATATGCACCGACATAGGTGGAGGGGACGATGCTAGCCATGCCACCCCATTGTATCTTCTTCTGCCCAAACTCCATCGGCAGCGCTCCGTCATAAGGCACTTACCCATAGACTTACACATACACAAGAAAGTGCGGAAGAAGGCGGGACAGTAGGGCCCCCAATTTCGTGGCGCGCGGTCATAACCATCCATCATCAGATTCGAGCTCTCCTTCGACACTGACTTCGATGCCGTGGTAGAGCGTTGTCATCGTCAACACGGTATAGCCTGGCTGTACCCTCCTATAGTGAACTCTCTTAGTGAGGCAGTTATCGCTATCTTGACATATGTCGATCGACTTCAGAAGCGATACACCAGCATCCAGAGGGTCTTGGTAGTAGTCCCAAGAGGCACAGCGGAGGTCGCCCTGTGCCCTCCTCTGACTGCTCCTCGACATCCTCTTCATCTACCACCGATAAGGTAGGGGTACACTCTGTTGAGCTGAGGAGGGCCGATACCAAGGAGCTGGTCGCGGGGGAGTTAGGATGCCTTGTAGGGAAATGGTAATGATAGGGCATCATATCGGATGCATATGGTATCATAGTGGACCTGTTTTGTATCTTTTTTCAAGTCGACCTTTGATATTTGTGTGTTGTATTCACGTCTCACAGACGATCACTAGAATACTTCTGAAATGAACCTACTTCGTATCTTCCCATGGCGACCTCAAGATACGCCTTCAGTTACACCTCCCTCACCGGGTTCTACGACTCTGATTGCCCCGGTTCGGGTTCGGTCCAGATGTGTGCCCTTGGGGCCTACCTCGCCAACGAAGGCTTGGCCCAGATGTGGGACATAGGGATGGATATGCTGTAGGTCGCTGTGTTATGACGATACGGAAGAGGTAGACTCGCTTGGTAGATATAAACGGGATTTGGGAGCCAACAGTGTTCCTCGTGAGGACTTCATTCGAATATTCCGACAACTTCGAGATGAAAGATCTCCATCAGACCTGGCCTGTCGTTCAGGAAGGAACTGTCGTGAGATCATTGATGTCTACCTCTACACTAAAAGGGAGGAGGAGGAGGACTAGAGTTGTACATTACTAACACCATACCATTACCAGTACCTTTTCTTTTGGTCTAATAAGGTTGAGCTGCTATCTGTCTTGATTAGTGTCTTCTCTGTCACCCCTACTATCGGTAGTAGAGGTAGGCTCCTGTGGTTTACACCCGTCCCAGTAGAGGCAATTGCTTGCATCACTCTACAGGTCTGCTACTGACCTTTTCCGGATGGTATGGCCCTGGATCCATTGTGAATACTGTGTTGCGTTATAAGTATGAGCCCATGATCATCTGTCAGTATTGAGATGGCCACTGGTAGTAGTAGTAGCAGTATGGTAGAGGGTTTCTCCTCCACCGAGGAGGCCGCTACTGGCAATAGAGCCGCTGGTGAGGTAGACATCAAGACCACCGACTTGGTCGCCATCGTCCTCGACCTCAACCCTTGGGTCTGGTCCAGTTACTCCCTCGCCTCGTTTAAGGTGGAGGCACCTCCTAGTGAGAAGGCCATGCAGGAGAAGGCGGCAGGGGCGGTGACCCTCGAGGCCCTTTTCTCGGCCCTCCTCCTCACAGTAGGAGCTATCAGTGCAGCCAGCACCAGTGGTGACTCCCTGGGAGTCTGCATCGTAGGAGTGTCACCGACTAAAGCGAAGATTCTCCTGAAGGGATCATGGCCAGAGATGGACCGGACAGCCCTATGGGAGGCCATGGTGGGCTTCATAAAGGCCTCAGTGAAGGAGAGGTCAAGGCCGTCGTCGACGATGACGACGACGTCCTCGTCCCTGATAGCCGCCGGCCTCTCTCTAGCCCTGTGCTACCTCAACAAGCATCTCACCATCCCGGGTAGGGCACGGTGTTGTATCGTCGAGGCCGTCAGCGTCTATGGGGAGGCGAACTACGCCTCAGAAGCAGTGCCCCTTGCCAATTGTGGATGGGCTGCCCAGGACCTTCGGGTCCCCATCGACCTCTGTACGGTGTGCCCTGGAAGGACGCCTCAAAGCAGCAGCCCCAGCAACGACCGCTCCTCCTCCTCATCATCAAATGCATCGCCGACCTCGGCTACCCTATTGGTACAGCTATGCGAGGCCACTAGGGGCGTTCATATCCCCTCTAAACGTTGCAGTACAGTGGGAGGCCTTTTCCAGTCGCTCATGTTCCACTTCTCCGTGCCGAGCCTTGGGGAGAGAGAGGTCCTCAAGACCAGGCCCAGCGCTAGGCTACTGGACATGGGCTCGCTGTGTGCCTGCCATGGCCTGCCGGTCGATCGAGGTTACGTCTGCAGTGTTTGTCTATGCATCTACTGTAACGATTCCAGTGGGGTGTGCCGGAAGTGCGGTGCTCGCTTCAAGAGGACTGCAACGAGTGAGCTGCCCTTGGCTGAACAGCCCTTCGAGAGGCCCTCGGGTCGAGGAACTTCATCGCATCAACCACCGCATCTTCGACATATGACATTTACTACCATTAAAAAGCAGGAGAACGGAACTCCTACGTGAACTCTATCTGTCGCCCTAGTGGAGTTGATTTGTATCCGGGCCAAGGGGCAGGCTTTGAATCTTCATCATGTCGACCGACGGCACCAAGTCCGACACCCTCCTCATCACAGGCTTGCCCAGGACCGTCGACGAGCAGCAGATTCGGCTGGTCTTCGGAGGGATGGGCCTATTGCATGTCCGACTTGACCGGGACTCGGAGACCCAGAAGCCCACTGGGTACTACTGACTGCTGTAGTCCTCCACACATCCTCCTGTACTTTCCAGGTATGCATTCATACGGTTCGCATCACCTGGTTTGGCTGCAGAGGCCCTCGAGAAGCGAGGAGGGTCCTCTAACAACGAGGGCTGGCAAGTGACCATGAGCGCTCGCCCTGACACTGTTGGGGTCATCACTGAGGGTGCCTGTATCGACAAGTCCTATCAAGTTTACATCGGCAACCTCTTCCCTACGATAGACTCTGACAAACTGTATCGACAAGTATGTCTCTCGCCGGCCTACCCTTCTCCTCCTCAGAACTGAAGTATTCAAGGGCAAGTACGAGGGTGTCCGAGCAGGCAGGGTCATTCGGACACCTCCAGACGACCAAGGCCACACTGAATCCTTGGGCTACGGCTTTGTATGCTCAGCGTCACTGCGCTACGAAATTACTGGCTCCATCAGGTGGCCTTCGACTCATCAGCGCACAGCTACTCCTGTCTAGAAGAGGTGGAGGCCGTTATGAAGAAGTCGGCGAAGGATCGGAAACCCGCGGACCTCGGGTAGGTCGAACCGACCTAGCACCTCCGATGATGACGACCTCTTCGACAGGTGTATATTTCCTGAGCCTTTGGGCCCT